AAAAAAAAAAAAAAAAAAAAAAAAAAAAAAAAAAAAAAAAAAAAAAAAAAAAAAAAAAAAAAAAAAAAAAAAAAAGTTGTACAACGATAGTAGTAGGATTACAATCATGTGTCTTGCTATTTAATGACTTGCTTAGCCAAATATCATTCTTATTCATAGGCACAACATCAGCAAACTTCACTTGGTTACTAATGCATTATCAAAATGGTCGTATATGATAGATAAATTAACTCGATTATGGCTTATGCTATGAATTATTATCGTTTGTCTTAATTATGTTCAAAATTGAGCTTAAATTACTTAGTGAGTCCTATTAAGCATATCATATAAAGTAAAGTACTTGTAATGTTTACGAGCTATACAATGCAATTTGGTGCTTTTTGTGCAAGTACTGCTTGTAGGATTGATGTCCTAATTTTATGACATGTTGAGCATAGATTACGTGATTTATGAATTACCATGGAAATAAATAAATTAAATGACATAGGGATATGCTTGTGTTATAATCTGATTCTTGTACGTCATATGTTTGTGCATTGTGATACCCCGAGAATGATTATTAGATAATCTTCTGAATTCATCACTAGTGATGAGGACCAATATTGTATTTACAATTTTACAGAACACAGGTATGCTTAATGGTGCCTAGGATTATTTACAGGTATAATCAAGAGATCTCGAATTACTTCTTAATTGTGATCTTGCCAAAGTAGGACAAGAGACTAGGGGCTACCATTATGAGTCATCTACCGGTATAGTCCCAAGTCTCATTTCAATATTAGTTCACGATATCACGACCTCACCTTTAACCATTCCTTATACTCAATAGAAGTATTTACCCTCACAATTACCTTTGGAGTCCCAAGTCTCTCTCTAAGATAGACTACAAAGTCGCGAAGTTAGCTTTGACCCGTTTCTACACTCAATAACAAAGATAATTACCCATGTAGTTCCATATAGCGTCGCTTTGATCCATTTCTACTCAATAAATTCACCCACCTTTAGACTTCTATTTGTGTAGTCCCAAGTGTGTCTCCAATACAAGATTAAGAAATTATGACATCAGTCTTGAATTGTTCTACACTCAATAGAAGAGATAACTACTCATGTGATCCCAACTCCCTCCTCAAAACTTGTTTACTGCAGTGGCGTCAAATTTGATCTGTTGCCACCCTCAATAGTAACTCAAATGGCCTCAGTTTTTCTAGTGACAACGTTTTTGAAGGAAATGAACTCTTCATTCACGTAGCGGAAATATTGGGAATCGTTTTGATTTTTATAATGAATTAGAACAAAAGCAATAAATACGAGAGCAAAAACTCCACTTTTGTAGAAACCCTAGTTGGGAAGACTTCTTGAAGTTCTTCCTTACTATGACTCGAACACAAGGTCAAAGGCTTGTGGAGCCTTTTGAAAGAAACTCCCAAAGGGATTGGAGAGGAAGAGTTTCCAGAATTCTCTAATTTCATTCTCCAAAGAAAATGGGAGAGATTCATATGTCTTTGGCTCAACCCGAGTGTCTTTGGCTCATCCCGAGTGTCTTTGACTCAACTCGAGGGTCCTATTTATAGGACTCTTGGAAAATATTTGTCAAATAATATATTTGCATATTTAATATATTAGGACATAATACTTTATACCAATCATATTGAGATATTATAAGATATCCTAATATATATTTAACTAATTTGAATCTCATTCAAATTTTAAATATATTTTTATTTAATGTATTGAAGAAATATTAATTGATTTAATATTTAAGGATATGAAATACAATAAATATATTTTTTCTTTAATATATTTAATATTAATTTTAACCTCAAAATTAATATATTTTTCTCAATTTATCTTTAACATATCTAATATTAATTTGAACTCTTCAAATTAAATATATTTTTTCCTTTATATTTAATATATCTAATATATTAAATATCAATTTAAACCCTTCAAATTTTCTTTTAAATAAATGGAACCTTTTAGCTTTACTATGAGCTAGCAACGGGACCTTATGAACGTACTGATTATAAGCTTCAATGATACAAAATAAGTTAATTTTCATTTATTAACTATAAGTCACTCCACTGTAGACCTAAAGTTCCACTCTTATGCACGGTAGGACAAGTTATGTCCATTGATATGATCATTACAAGCAAGTCGATCCTTCACGAGTTGTTCATAATTACAGCGGGATCAAAAGTCCGTTTTACTCTTATAATTACATCTTTCACCTTAAGTACCACTGATTCTCTAATTAACAATTTGTTTATGATTCAATCATAAACCAAGTTCCTCTCGGGCCAATGAGAGGGTGGTGGCCTCATTGTTCAAGTCCCGAAATCAGTACTTAAAGAACAACTCATCTACTTTCCTTATATGGAAAGGAGTGAATTCCATCTATCATATTATATTCCCAACTCCGTGTTTCGTAGAAGTCCCAAAATGATTGGCATATTGAATCGGCTAAAAATAGTCATTCTCACTCATGTAAATTGAAGGACCCAAGCAGAGTTCATAACTTACTCAGGATTAAGATCGAGTCACATATGATTATCATGTGAAATATTAATTTTTTCAATTAACGGATTTATACAGAGAGATTAAATATTTCTTGGTCCAGTCTTATACAAACTCATTGTATAGGATACCCCACTTACATGTTTCCACATGAACGATTTGGATCAAATCATTTGTAACGATTACAAAGTGGGTCGTATCAAAAGTGTTACCAGGATAAGGCACCCAACTGATGATGTTAATATAACACATGCGGAAGCAATTTGGAACTTAGACACTTTTAGAACATCAATTATAGTAAATAACTAGCATGTTCATAAGTATTAAAACTTAATGAGTTTGAATACTAATCTTTTGTAGTTTAAATTTCTTTTTCCTCACGAACCGGTTTCGAACCACCACTAGTGTCTTCTACACTATCCTCCGGTCTTAGAACGGGATTGTGGAATCCGGTGAGTGACTAAACTTGGGAGGGATTTTGTATATATGAAGAGAGTATTTGTGAGAGATTTTTCTCAAGGTTTTTCACCAAGAAGAAGACCTTTCATGTTTTATAATCACTCTATTTATAGAGTTATGTTTGCATGTTCATGCAAATTTGAGATCACCAAATTTTGACAATCAAAATTCCACTCAAATGTTTGGGATTATGTGGCAAGTATGCATGCTTGAGTTAACCAAATTTTGACACTCAAAATTTTACTCAAATTTGTGGAGTTTATTTGGCAAGTATGCACGTTTGGTTAAACCAAATTTTGACACCTCAAAATTCCACTAACATGGATTTTTTCATTAAATGAAGTCAACATTTTGACTTTCTTCATTTTGATTCAACCATCCATTTGAATTATTAATTTCAAATTAAAGTAATATTAAATGATTAATTAAACTATTTAATTCCAACAAATACTTGATTAAGATATTTAAATCTTATTTAAATATCTCATATTCTCTCTTTTTGTTTAATTCGTAAATAAAACAAAAATGCGGTTAAATATATCGTATATATGTAGTGCATTCTCCCTAATTTGAATTCGAACACTTCGAACTCACTCGTCACACTGTTCTATGGTTTAGTTCGATATGAGCTAGTAGAGGGACCTAATGGACCTATAGATCATGGGCTCCAACGATCCAAGATTAATCGGTTAAACTCATTAACCTTGTTAACCAACATTCGTTAACTACTAGGACATTCCACTATAGCCTAGTAGTTGCACTCCCCTCACTATAGATATATTTCTGTCCATTTGATATAACCATGTTTAGTAAGTTGATCCTTCACAGGTTGTTCATAACTAGAGCTGGGTCAATTTACCGTTTTACCCCTGAAGTTACTTCTTGTTTCTTATGTCTCACTGATTCTCTAATGAACAATTGGTTTGTGGTTCAACCAGTAAACCGAATCCCTCTCAGGCCAGTGAGAGGGTGGGACCCCTTGTTCTAGAGTCAGTACTTAAGGGAACTACCTCTCTTCTATCCCTAAAAGTGGGTAGGAGTGAATTCCATCTTGCACCCCACGTCCCTAGCCATTTACCCAGTCTTACCCCTGAAATGGGAGGTTTATTGAGTCGGCGAACTTGAGCCACCCTCACCCATAAAAATCTAAGAATAATTCCGAATAAACAGGAGTTCATGGTTAGCTCAGAATTAAGATCGAGTTACCTAGGTCATTGAATAAAAAGAAAATCAGTCTCAACAGTAAACAACATTATAAAGTGAGAGTGATTTTTTTCATAGTCCGATCTTATGCAATACTCATTGCATAGGACGCCCCCACTCACATGTCTCCACATGTACAATTTTAATGATCACAATGTTTATATCATATACAAAAGTGGGCCGCATCCATAGTGTCCCCAGAATAAGGTACTCAGCCTTATCCTTATACTATAGATCATTTTGACTATATACTTGAACTTGATCAACTCTTATGTTTATACATATAGTTCAAGTAATCATTTTATAGCCAGAATGTTCTTAGTTTATTGGATTTAGATGAAGGATCGTAAAGTTCACTTTATTCAATAACAATCTTTACTGAATAAACATCAATAATAACTTTATTGAAAATAGAATATGTTTTTGTTTACAAACTATGAGTTTTAGGACATAAAACCCAACACTCCCAAGCTTGCTTTTCCGTGTGCGAGGAGCTTCAATTTTTTTTTTTACAATTATATAATAGGTCCTAGTTGTTCAAGTAATCATTTTATAGTCAAAGTGTTCTTAGTTTTTTTTTTTTTTTTTTTTTTTTTTTTTTTT